GTATTCTCTCAAAGGGGCAGTACTGGAAGGTGGGTAGGTGTTGGAAGGTGGGTAGGGGCTGGAAGGTGAGTAAGTACTGGAAGGTGGGTAGGTACTGGAAGGTGGATAAGTACTGAAAGGTGGGTAGGTACTGGAAGGTGGGTAGGGGCTGGAAGGTGTGTAAGTACTGGAAGGTGGGTAGGTACTGGAAGGTGGATAAGTACTGAAAGGTGGGTAGGTACTGGAAGGTGGGTAGGGGCTGGAAGGTGAGTAAGTACTGGAAGGTGGGTAGGTACTAGGTGGGGGTACTGGAAGGTGGGTAGGGGCTGAAGGTGAGTAAGTACTAGAAGGTGGGTGGAAGGTGGGTGGAAGGTACTGGAAGGTGGGTAGGGGTGGAGGTGTGTAAGTACTGGAAGGTGGGTAGGTACTGGAAGGTGGGTAGGGGCTGGAAGGTGTGTAAGTACTGGAAGGTGGGTAGGTACTGGAAGGTGGGTAGGGGCTGGAAGGTGGATAAGTACTGGAAGGTGGGTAGGGGCAGGAAGGTGGGTAAGTACTGGAAGGCGGGTAGGGGCTGGAAGGTGGGTAAGTACTGGAAGGTGGGTAGGGGCAACAAGGTGGGTAAGTACTGGAAGGCGGGGGGTAGGGGCTGGAAGGTGGGTAGGGGCTGGAAGGTGAGTAAGTACTGGAAGGTGGGTAGGTACTGGAAGGTGGATAAGTACTGAAAGGTGGGTAGGTACTGGAAGGTGGGTAGGGGCTGGAAGGTGAGTAAGTACTAGAAGGTGGGTAGGTACTGGAAGGTGAGTAAGTACTGGAAGGTGGGTATGTACTGGAAGGTGGGTAGGGGCTGGAAGGTGTGTAAGTACTGAAGGTGGGTAGGTACTGGAAGGTGGGTAGGGGCTGGAAGGTGAGTAAGTACTGGAAGGTGGGTAGGTACTGGAAGGTGGGTAGGGGCTGGAAGGTGGATAAGTACTGGAAGGTGGCTAGGTACAGGAAGGTGGGTAGGAGCTGGAAGGTGGGTAAGTACTGAAAGGTGGGTGGGGCTGGGAGGTGAGTAAGTAATGGAAGGTGAGTAAGTACTGGAAGGTGGGTATGGGCTGGAAGGTTGGTAAGTACTGAAGACGGGTAAGGGTGGAAGATGGGTAAGTACTGGAAGGCGGGTAGGGGCTAAAAGGTGTGTAAGTATTGGAAGGTGGGTAAGTACTGGAAGGTGGGTAGGGGCTGGAAGGTGGGTAGGGGCTGGAAGGTGTGTAAGTACTGGAAGTTGGGTAGGGGCTGGAAGGTGGGTAAGTACTGTAAGGTGGGTTGGGGCTGGAAGGTGGGTATGTACTGGAAGGTGGGTAGGGGCTGGAAGGTGGGTAAGTACTGGAAGATGGGTAAGTACTGGAAGGTGGGTAGGGGCTGGAAGGTGGGTAAGTACTGGAAGATGGGTAAGTACTGTGTAAGATGGGTAGGGGCTGGAAGGTGGGTAAGTACTGTAAGGTGGGTAAGTACTGGAAGTGGGTAGGGGCTGGAAGGTGGGTATGTACTGGAAGGTGGGTAAGTACTGGAAGGCGGGTAGGGGCTGGAAGGTGGGTAGGGGCAGGAAGGTGGGTAAGTACTGGAATGGGGTAGGGGCTGGAAGGTGGGTAAGTACTGGAAGGTGGGTAGGGGCAAGAAGGTGGGTAAGTACTGGAAGGCGGGTAGGGGCTGGAAGGTGGGTAGGGGCTGGAAGGTGGGTAGTACTGGAAGGTGGGTAGGGACTGGAAGGTGGGTAAGTACTGGAAGGCGTGTAGGGGCTGGAAGGTGGGTAGGGGCTGGAAGGTGGGTAGGGGCTGGAAGATGGGTAAGTACTGGAAGGCGGTGTAGGGGCTGGAAGATGGGTAAGTACTGGAAGAAGGGGTAGGGGCTGGAAGGTGGGTAGTACTGGAAGGCGGGTAGGGGCTGGAAGGTGGGTAAGTACTGGAAGGCAGGTAGGGGCTGGAACCAAAGGACATTGCTCAGAGGAGGGTAGGGAGTACAGCATAGGGGTGACTCAGGAGGGGGGAGTTCCTGCACTTAGTATTTGATTAAAAAAAGCCCGGAGTATGTATGTTTTTTTTTTAATTCCTATTTAAACAACCTATTTCTATGGAGGTCTATGTATCAAACCAAAAAGAGCAGAGAAGGAAGGAGGAACATATGGACAATCCTTCCAAAAGGGGGACAGTTGGGATCTATTTGTATTTACTGTTCCACTGAACCTTCTCTATACGTAACCTCATCCAGACTGATCACCAATGCCTCATCCATCACCCATGTGACCTTCTCACGTGCCAAGAAGATTTCTCAGCCATTCTTAGCCAAAATGAAATTCATATGAACATGGAACCTCAAAAATTCATGACTAATGCACCATAGATAGGCTTGTCCACTCCAACTTCCACCATTACCTATCCATACCACTCCCCACCCTCTTAACCAAATAAACTTTACAAAAAACATGACACCATTTTGGAGTAAATGGCCAACATGGCCTTTTATTAACAACTTCACATTTTAACATACATCAACCGTTCCTCAACGGAAACCAAAGAATTGTTGTTGGTCTTCAAAGGCACCCACAAACGATCCAAAATGCACCTGCGGACAACCCTATCCACTAGGCCTCCAGCCGCAACCAACCAGCTCGGAGACAACCATACCGTCCGCAGTGCAGCACCACCACCTTCCAGTTAAACCTTGGTTAACTGGGAATATCCACCGGGCCCCCCATACCATGGATGGGGTCCCACACCATTGTTTTACCTTCCAAGATGAGAACCGCCTCCAAAGACCAACAACCACCCACGAACCAACAGAAAAAAAAAAAAAAAAAAAAAACCCTTTCCAACTGATGTTTCTGGTTTTTTTTTTTTTTTTTCTTATTTACCTTTCCTACCTACCCCCGGACGAGACCCTATACCCAACCAAACAGGGAGGGCGGGAGGGAAGCTCTGTTCCTTGCACCCGTCCAGCTCCACTGACGCCCCTTCCACAGAACCCCCCACCCAGAGGTGCCACAAACCCCTCCTACACTCCACATCTGCCAATCCTGTAATTCCCCAAACAATTTCCCCACCCCCTGGAGCTAAATTTAACCCTTTTCGTTCCCTACACCACTCTGGGCCTAGTCATGTATGCCCTGCGCTATTTCCATTCTTCCCTATTCGCTACGGGCATTTCTTTGTTTTAATGTCCAGAGTGGTGGGCTGTCCAAGGTATTAAAGCGATATGAAGCCACTGACAAAAAAAAAATGTAAAAAAATTAAAAAATCCCTTGCAAGGTAATGTCCTTATATGCATTGCACACTAGCACAGTATGAAGGACTTACCTCATAAAGAAGCCCTCCAACGGTGCACTTTCACCACTGTAGAGACTTCCATCTTCATCTTTCGGTCTTCCTTCCGAGTTCGCGAGCTCTGGCCATCTGACTGGCCCAGCCGCGATGATGTCACTCCCGCGCATGCGCATGGGAGTCCTGGGTCACAGCACAGTACTCTGAAGGAACGACACAGGTATGTTGTTCCTTCAGAGCGCATGCACCAGCTATCAAAGAGAGCAAAATATCTCCTAATATTCATTTTACTTACAGGTAGGCTTTATTATATGCTTATCTGTAGATAAAAGCTACAAAAAAATGTTTACTACCATTTTAATAAGAAAAAAAACATAAGGATGGTAGTTTTTTTTTTCCCCAGAAAAGGTGGCAACCCTAGACATGTTTTGGGATATTTACTAAATTTGGAGAGTGAAAAATCTGGTGCAGCTCTGCATGGAAACCAATCAGCTTCCAGGTTGTATTGTCAAAGCTTAAAGTGTCACTAAACCCCGGACCCGGCATTCACTATATCTGCTCTCCCCGGACCCCGCATTCACTATATCCGCTCTCCCCGGACCCGCATTCACTATATCCGCTCTCCCCGGACCCCGCATTCACTATATCCGCTCTCCCCGGACCCCGCATTCACTATATCTGCTCTCCCCGGACCCGCATTCACTATATCCGCTCTCCCCGGACCCTGCATTCACTATATCCGCTCTCCCGGACCCCGCATTCACTATATCCGCTCTCCCCGGACCCTGCATTCACTATATCCGCTCTCCCCGGACCCCGCATTCACTATATCCGCTCTCCCCGGACCCTGCATTCACTATATCGCTCTCCCCGGACCCCGCATTCACTATATCCGCTCTCCCCGGACCCCGCATTCACTATATCCGCTCTCCCCGGACCCGCATTCACTATATCTGCTCTCCCCGGACCCTGCATTCACTATATCGCGCTCTCCCGAGACCCCGCATTCACTATATCCGCTCTCCCCGGACCCCGCATTCACTATATCCGCTCTCCCCGAACCCCGCATTCACTATATCCGCTCTCCCCGGACCCCGCATTCACTATATCCGCTCTCCCCGGACCCCGCATTCACTATATCCGCTCTCCCCGGACCCCGCATTCACTATATCCGCTCTCCCCGGACCCCGCATTCACTATATCCGCTCACCCCGGACCCCGCATTCACTATATCCGCTCTCCCCGGACCCCGCATTCACTATATCCGCTCTCCCCGGACCCCGCATTCACTATATCCGCTCTCCCCGGACCCCGCATTCACTATATCCGCTCTCTCCCGGACCCCGCATTTCACTATATCCGCTCTCCCCGGACCCCGCATTCACTATATCCGCTCTCCCCGGACCCCGGATATCCGCCTCCCCGGACCCCGCATTCACTATATCCGCTCTCCCCCGGACCCTGCAATTCACCCCCCCCCCCGGTCTCCGAGGACCCCGCATTCACTATATATGCATTCACTATATCCTGCCGAGGACCCCGCATTCACCGGACCCATGCATTCACTATATCCGGTCTCCCCGGACCCCTGCATTCACTATATATCCGCTCTCCCCGGACCCTGCATTCACTATATCCGCTCTCCCCGGACCCTGCATTCACTATATCCGCTCTCCCCGGACCCTGCATTCACTATATCCGCTCTCCCGGACCCCGCATTCACTATACCTGCTCTCCCCGGACCCTGCATTCACTATATCCTGATCTCCCCAGACCCTGCATTCACTATATCTGGTCTCCCCGGACCCTGCATTCACTATATCTGCTCTCCCAGACCCCGCATTCACTATATCTGGTCTCCCCGGACCCTGCATTCACTATATCTGGTCTCCCCGGACCCTGCATTCACTATATCTGGTCTCCCCAGACACTGCATTCACTATATCTTGTCTACCCGGACCCTGCATTCACTATATCCTCTCCCCGGACCCTGCATTCACTATATCCGCTCTCCCCGGACCCTGCATTCACTATATCCGCTCTCCCCGGACCCCGCATTCACTATTTACGCTCTCCCCGGACCCCGCATATTCACTATATCCGCTCTCCCCGGACCCCGCATTCACTATATCCGCTCTCCCCGGACCCCGCATTCACTATATCCGCTCTCCCCGGACCCCGCATTCACTATATCCGCTCTCCCCGGACCCCGCATTCACTATATCCGCTCTCCCCGGACCCCGCATTCACTATATCTGGTCTCCCGAGGACCCTGCATTCACTATATCTGCTCTCCCCGGACCATGCATTCACTATATCCGGTCTCCCCGGACCCTGCATTCACTATATCCGCTCTCCCCCGACCCTGCATTCACTATATCCGCTCTCCCCGGACCCTGCATTCACTATATCTGGTCTCCCCAGACCCTGCATTCACTATATCGGTCTCCCCGGGACCTGCATTCACTATATCTTGCTCTACCCGGACCCTGCATTCACTATATCCTCTCCCGGACCCTGCATTCACTATATCCGCTCTCCCTGGACCCCGCATTCACTATATCCGGCTCTCCCCCGGACCCTGCATTCACTATATACGCTCTCCCCGGACCCCGCATTCACTATATACGCTCTCTCCCGGACCCCGCATTCACTATATATACGCTCTCCCCGGACCCCTGCATTCACTATATCCGCTCTCCCCGGACCCTGCATTCACTATATCCGCTCTCCCCGGACCCCGCATTCACTATATCCGGTCTCCACGGACCCTGCATTCACTATATCCGGTCTCCACGGGACCCTGCATTCACTATATCCGCTCTCCCTGGACCCCGCATTCACTATATCCGCTCTCCCGGGCCCCGCATTCACTATATCCAGTCTCCACAGACCCTGCATTCACTATATCTGCGGTCTCCCAGGACCCTGCATTCACTATATCCGTCTCTCCCCGGACCCCGCATTCACTATATCCGCTCTCCCCGGACCCCGCATTCACTATATCCGCTCTCCCCGGACCCCGCATTCACTATATCCGCTCTCCCCGGACCCCGCATTCACTATATCCGCTCTCCCCGGATCCCGCATTCACTATATCTGGTCTCCCGGACCCTGCATTCACTATATCTGCTCTCCCCCGGACCCTGCATTCACTATATCCGGTCTCCCCGGACCCTGCATTCACTATATCCGCTCTCCCCGGACCCTGCATTCACTATATCCGCTCTCCCCGGACCCTGCATTCACTATATCCGCTCTCCCCGGACCCTGCATTCACTATATCCGCTCTCCCCGGACCCTGCATTCACTATATCCGCTCTCCCCGGACCCTGCATTCACTATATCTGCTCTCCCCAGACCCTGCATTCACTATATCTGGTCTCCCCAGACCCTGCATTCACTATATCTGGTCTCTCCCAGACCCCCGCTAATTCACTATATCCGCTCTCCCCGGACCCTGCATTCACTATATCTGGTCTCCCCCGGACCCTGCATTCACTATATCTTGTCTCCCCGGACCCTGCATTCACTATATCCTCTCCCGGACCCTGCATTCACTATATCCGCTCTCCCGGACCCCGCATTCACTATATCCGGTCTCCCCGGACCCTGCATTCACTATATCCGCTCTCCCCGGACCCCGCATTCACTATATCCGCTCTCCCCGGACCCCGCATTCACTATATCCGCTCTCCCGGACCCCGCATTCACTATATACGCTCTTCCCAGCCCCACATTCACTATATCCGCTCTCCCCGGACCCTGCATTCACTATATCCGCTCTCCCCGGACCCTGCATTCACTAATATCCGCTCTCCCTGGACCCCGCATTCACTATATCCGGTCTCCACGGACCCCACATTCACTATATCCGGTCTCCACGGACCGTGCATTCACTTATATCCGCTCTCCCTGGACCCCGCATTCACTATATCCGCTCTCTCCCGGGCCCCACATTCACTATATCGCTCTCTCCCGGACCCCGCATTCACTATATCCGCTCTCCCCGGACCCCGCATTCACTATATCCGCTCTCCCCGGGCCCTGCATTCACTATATCTGGTCTCCCTGGACCCTGCATTCACTATATCCGCTCTCCCCGGCCCTGCATTGCATTCACTATATCCGGTCTCCCCGGACCCCGCATTCACTATATCCGGTCTCCCGGACCCTGCATTCACTATATCCGCTCTCCCCGGACCCCGCATTCACTATATCGGTCTCCCCGGACCCTGCATCCACTATATCCGCTCTCCCCGGACCCTGCATTCACTATATCCGGTCTCCCCGGACCCCGCATTCACTATATCCGCTCTCCCCAGACCCTGCATTCACTATATCCGGTCTCCCGGACCCCGCATCCACTATATCCGGTCTCCCACAGTACACAGAACATGGAAAATGCAATTATTTTAGTAAAAATAAACTGCTAAATCCCTTTACTCATCAGAAGTATAGAGCAGTCTTGTGACTTGCACTCACTGTATTCATTCATAACTGAAGCATAGTAAATTGTTTGTTTTTTTCTGTGGGGGGCTGTTAGGTTAGCTGTATGGGGGCCCCGAGGTTTCTAACTGGGTAAGACCAGGGCAGACGGTGAGCCGTGTCTTTATCATGCTTGATGAGTTTGCACTACTTGCAATACATTTTGTTGAAAATCAAGAAAAGCGCAAATGCGGCCAATTCGTTTGAATCCGAATACGGAGCCAAAAATATTGTCCGGAAAAAAAACAGATTTCGTTATCGGCCCTTTACATTGAATGTTGACAAGTCTGCTAATCAGACAAAGAAAGTGACAGTTCAGTCAATGCGAATATTGCAAAACTTTACTCAGCACTGCGAGTTCAGACAAGGGGAATTTTCGTTACTGTTTTCCTTATCTTTTTGTTTTGAGCGTTGTGTCATAATAAAGCAGAAAAAAATCTGTATGTAAACCCTAACATTGAACTTTGGTCCCTTTTGGTGGGTTAACCCCTTCCAGCCCGCCCCAACGTCCCTTTAAAAAAGATCTGAATGATGGGGGGGAGAAAGATCAGAGATCATGTGACCTCTGTGATTGGCAGTCACAGTGGTCACATGATTGCGAACTATCGACAGGAAATCCAAAACGAGAGCTGCCTTTGACAGCTCGGTCTCTGCGCTGGGAGCGCACAGTGAACGCGCTCTCATCACAGAAACATCAGCCGCCCAACACCACGTACACTCACCGGCCACTTTATTAGGTACACACGTTCAATGGCTTGGTAACACAAATTGCTAATCAGCCAATCACATGGCAGCAACTCAATGCATTTAGGCATCTAGACATGGTGAAGACGACTTGCTGCAGTTCGAACCGAGCATCAGAATGTGGAAGAAAGGGGATTTAAGTGACTTTGAACGTGTCTCCACGTGCAAAACAAAAAAAAATGTGTTTCGTTTCGAAATCTAACAAATTTCATGTAGTTGGATTCGGCCAATTCGTTTCGGGATTCATTTCGGTAATTCGTATTCGAATTCAATTTGAAAACATTTCAACCAAATTCTAAAAGTCGTTCATATATATATATATATACACACACAGTTTGTGCTCAAAAGTTTGCACCCCCTGGCAGAAATTGTGAAATTTTGGCATTGATATTGAAAATATGACTGATCATGCAAAAAATGCTGTCTTTTATTGAAGGATGACGATCATATGAAGCCATTTATTATCAAATAGTTGTTTGTCTCCTTTTTAAATCATAATTATAACAGAAATCACCCAAATGGCCCGGATCAGAAGTCTCCGCCCCTGGATCAGAAGTCTCCGCCCCTAGATCAGAAGTCTCCACCCCGGATCAGAAGTTTCCGCCCCGTTGGAATGTTTGGCCTTGGTGCAGACACACAAGGTGACACACACGGGGTTAAAATGCCAATTAGAGGTTAATGTCCCACATCTGTGTCTTTTTAAATTGCAATCAGTGTCAGTGTATAAATAGTCAATGACAGGGACGGACTGACCATTTGGAAACTCGGGTACTGCCCGAGGGCCCGGGGTCAGTAGGAGGCCCCATGCGATGCCCCTGGTACCTTTTTCATAGGCTTTCTTGATTTTGGGCAAGGACACAGGGGCCCCATGATCCCCTATTGCCCGGGGGCCCCATGAGTTGTCAGTCCGCCCCTGGTGGGTGGAGGGGGGGATTATGGTGTGAGGTTGTTTTTCAGGGGTTGGGCTTGGCCCCCTAGTTCCAGTGAAGTGAACTCTTAAGGCATCAGCATTACCAAGACATTTTGCACAATTTCATGCTCCCAACTTTGTGGGAAGAGTTTGGGGATGGCCCCTTCCTGTTCCAACATGACTGCCCACCAGTGCACAAAGCAAGGTCCATAAAGACATGGAGGAGCCAGTTTGGGGTGGAGGAACTTGACTGTCCTGCACAGAGTCCTGACCTCAACCCCATAGAACACCTTTGGGACAGGGGCGGACTGACCATTCAAGCACTCGGGGCACTGCCCGAGGGCCCGGGCTCAATAGGGGGCCCCATGAGATGCCCCTGGTACCTTTCATTGACTTTTTCATAGGTTTTTTTTGGGATGTGGGCGAGGACACAGGGGCCCCATGATCCCCTATTGTCCGGGGGCCCCATGAGTGTCACCCCTGTCCATCCCTGCTTTGGGATGAATTAGAGCGGAGACTGCGAGCCAGGCCTCCTCCTCCCCCGACATCAGTGCCTGACCTGACAAATGAGATTCTGGAAGAATGGTCCAACCTTCCCATAGACACCCTCCTAAACCTTGTGGACAGCCTTCCCAGAAGAGTTGAAGCTGTTATAGCTGCAAAGGGCGGGGCCAACTCAATATTGAACCCTACGACTAAGACTGGGAGGCCATTAAAGTTCATGTGTGTGGAAAGGGTGGGGCCAACTCAATATTGAACCCTACGGACTAAGACTGGGAGG